CTGCATTGGTGGGCAGCTCAGCTTTAATAGTGCTCAGTCCAGGCACGCGGCAGCTTCTGTCTACATAGCGAGCAGCCAGGCAGAGAAGCTTCCAGCTGGGCTCATTTCTTGCCTTTGCATCATGGAAAAAAATCAACACTCGGCTTTAACAGAGACACAACAGTGCGGCATAAGACTTGCATAGGCATCCAAGAAATTCCTTTTTTTGTCACTCTTTGAAACTCACTTGACTGAACTCATTGGAAATGATTATTATATCTTGTCTCCATAATAGCTGAATGTTTATGTAATGCGTTAGTTTATACACTACATTTTTTATGTATTTATTTCAGGCTTAGATGTCATTCCCAGATTATCTAGTTTTCTTGTGCATCTTCTGATGCAATTTTTAACAGCCTACTGGGAACTTATGGATACAGATACTGATGTAGTGTCTTCTTGTGCCTATGTAACATACAAGAAACAGAATAGAATTCAACAGTGTGATATACTGTACTTATGGTTCATTTTTTGCTCTTTAAATAGATGTGGAAAAAAAAAGAAATAAATAAAAAAAAGAACACATTTGCAGTGGTATTCAAACTTTGCAATGTCTCCACAATGTTACGAGAGACATTTATATGACTGTGTATATTATAAAAATGAGTTGCACGCTTCCACTCAGTAATAAAATAAGCAAACAAATAAGTTGAGAAAGCAGCAGTTAAGAAGGCATCGGATATGCTATATATGCATAACTATAAGGGCTGCATGATATTGGGAAAATAACTGACATTGCAATGTACAATATTACTTTATCAATATTATTACAACATCCATTCATCACCAGATGAAATAAATCGGTTTTTTCTGGAATTCATTATTTTTTAATACATCAGGATGATTTTGTAGGAGTGTACAACTGCATAAAATATAATAAACCAATCGCAAGCATTTAGAGCAAAGATATAAATAAAATAGAAAGTCAAAAACCACATTGTATACCTACAGTGTCCAGTTTATCCAGTATATATTCATAAACAAAGAATCTTACTTAAAGTTATTTTGCTATCTTTCTTAAAGTTATTTCATATGCTTAAATACTTTACACTGACTTGAAATCCCCACAGTCAGAGCAGCTCAATTGACAAATGTTAGCCTTTGCAATGGATCCCCAAATCATGAATGTCAACACTATAATACCAATTCAACATAGCAGATTCTGCGTGTGATTATTGCCTATGCACAATATGTGCATATTGATGCTAAAACAATATATTGTGCAGCCCTAAGAACTATGCAGTTTACCTGCGTCAGATCAACAGATATCATAACTGAATTTGATTCTAAAGTGTGTCTGAGACTATAGAATATATAGATCCGATCATGAAAGACTACAAAAGACAATATAGCCATGGAAATCCTATACTCATTTGGCATTTTTATTTTAGCTGTAACATCTGGGACAGGGGTCACCAATCTCGTTCCTGGAGGTCTTGTGCCCTGCAGGGTTTAGCTCCAACTTGCCTTAACACACCTGTCTGGGTGTTTCAAGTATACCTAGTAAGACCTTGATTATCTTGTTCAGGTGTGTTTGATTAGGGTTGGAGCGAAAATCTGCAGGACATCATACCTCCAGAAGCAAGTTTGGTGATCCCTGCACTGAAAAAAGTGTTGCATGCAGAACTGTTGCAAACAATTTGTTTGTGTTGAATTTAAACAAACAAATTAAGTTTAGTAATGTTCAACTTAATTTGTGTGTTTAAATTCAGCCCAAATAAATTGTTTACCACCTCTTAACATAAAGAAATTGAGTAAATCCAAGGAATCATCTTTGAATAATTTTTTTCAGTGTGATCTAGGATGTCATTATAAATGTTGCATTTATATTTTCATGGAAATGCATCGGTCATGTGGGAACCCTAAGATGTGACTGCTGACAAAAGTAGCAGAATGAATTCTAAAAGTGTTTTAGGAAATATTATCTATTTAATATTGTTCATATGAAGTTAAATGCTTTGGAACTCATTGGACAACGCTTAACAGTGCAGATAGAGAATGACCCAAAGCACACTGCAAAAGCAACCACAGAGTTTTTTAAAAGGAGTGGAATATTGTGCAAAGGCCAAGTCAATCACCTGAACTTAATCTGATTGAGACTGCAGTTCACTTACTGAAGACAAAACTGAAGGGAAAATGCCCCAAGAACAAGCAGGAATTAAAAAACAGTTGCAGTAGAGGCCTGGCAGAGCATCACCAGGGATGAAACCCAGCGCCTGGTGATGTATATGCATTCCAGACTTCAGACTGTAATTGACTGCAAAGTTTTTTGCTATAAAGTATACAGTGAAAGTTTGATTTATGATTATTATTATGTCCATCTACTTTTGGACCCTTAACAAGTGGGAGGCACATATGCAAACTGTTTTGCTGATTTGGATGTAAATACCCTCAAATTAAAGCTGACTGTCCACAATTAAAGCCCATCCTGTTCGTTTCATTTTGAATCGATTGTGTTGGCGTATAGAGCCAAACATTTTTAGAATTGTGTCAATGTCCAAATTTTTATGGACCTGACTGTCTATGTATGTACATTGGTAGCCGAATTGAAACACACCATTTATATAATCATTCATTTTCTTTTCGGCTTAGTCTTTTTTATTCTGGGGTTGCCACAACAGAATGAACCACCAACTTATCCAGCATATGTTTTACAGAGCGGATGCCCTTCCATCTGCAACCCATCGCTGGGAAACACCTTGCACACTCATTCACACACATACACTACAGGCAATTTAGCTCACCCAATTCACTTAACGCACATGTCTTTAAACTGTGGGAAACCAGAGCACCCGGAGGAAGCGTTTACATGGAGAACATGCAAACTCCACACAAAAATGCTAACTAACTCAGCTGAGGCTTGAACCAGTGACCTTCTTGCTGTGAGGCAGAGGTCTGCATTCCCGCGGGCGCTCCAGGACCCGACCAGATTTCTGCGGCGCGAGAATAAATTTCCGAATAAATCGCGGGAGCGGTCGGTAACTGGTTTAATTTGGGACGGGAGCGGGCTGTCTAGCAATATCGCGGATATTGCTATGCAAATGAGAGAGAGAGAGAGCTTTGCCTGTGTTTGTGCTTGGTGCTTGTGTCTGTGTGTATGTTAGTGCGCGCGCGAATGAGAGAGAGAGAGAGAGAGCTTTCCCAGATAGCAAAATACACTCGGGCCAGTTCCGGCTAGATTCTCGCCTGCCAGAGACTTACCACTCGGCCCGGCTCCGGCTGCCGGACTCGGGCTGGATGCTTGTGGACTCACTGCCCGATTCCGGCCCGAATCAATCGGTCCAGATGTGGCGGCCGTAAGCAAGTCGACGCTGCCGGACGCTTCCGCGCCGGAATCGGCCAGAGAGTAATGTGCGCTGCGGCCCAGAGCTGGCGCGACTCAGTATTTATATACCTTTATATAAAAACTTTTGGTATTACATTGGTACTTGATACATGGTATTACAAGCCTTTGATTTGATATAACAGCAAACGCCTGTGTGTCTGCTTGGTGCTTGTGTGTGTGTTAGTGCGCGCGCACTTTGAGAGAGAGAGAGAGAGCTTTGTCTGTGTGTGTGCTTGGTGCTGTGTGTGTGTTTATACAGACAGCTTGGCTGTCTGGACTGTATAGCTGGGTGATTTTCGGTTTTGTTCTCCCCCGCTCTTTAGCGGGATCGGGCGCGGCGGGCAGAAAACGGGGCGGGTCGGGCAGCGGGACAACAAATTCTTAATATAAGCGGGAGCGGTCGGGTTCGGGCTAAAACCTGGCGGGTGCGGGCGGGAGCGGGATTCAAAATTTAGTCCCGCGCAGATCTCTACTGTGAGGCCATCGTGCTACCCACCGTGCCACTGCGTCACCCTTTAAATATATATATATATATATATATATATATATATATATATATATATATATATATATATCTCCACTCTGTCTAATGGGCTGTTCTGTAGACTGTACCAGACCATAGTCCAGTAAGCAAAGTAAGACTAAATGTTTCCTAAGCTGATCCCCAACATCAGTTGCAGAGGCTTTATGATGCTGGCTCTTGGGCAGTCCTCTAATTAGGACGCACCAACCGGCTCATCCTGACAACAAATGGAACAAATCAGATATTGCCTTTTTTCCCCAATGCATGTGAAATGAGTCATACGCTAGGCGAAAGCACTCCGTGATCATATCTGATGTGCAGAAATGATGACTAAATAAATCAGCTTAGCGCTGGCATCGGCTGTAAATGCACAAAGCCCGTTTTTAATAATGAAACATTCAATTGGTCTAAAGCAGAGCCCGGAGGGACGCCTGATTGTGTTTACCTCCATGTTCCTTCTCTGCAGCGCCGGAGAATTACACCCATGCACATACCCGCACACGTACACAAGTCAAAGTGACAGCCTAATATTAGTCGGAGCGAGATGAAGTGTGCGCGAGTTGATAGATTCTTCCCCGCTTTTCTCTGTCAGATGCATTCTCACCTTATGTGGCTGCCGTTTAATGCAAAGCTCTGCCGGCGCATTCTTTAAAATGCTTTTTCCACTAACGCCGCATGTTCAGTATCTCTAGGTATTGATGTGGCGGTGAGTCGCTGTGTGCTGAACGAATGAGTGGTAATGTCAAACAGTGGCGGCCTGATGGAGGCCATCTCTGGGCTCTGAGCGCAGCAGTACGGACCAGATAATGAGCCCAAGCGCTGCTGGAGGCTGGAACAGTCAGAACTTTCCAGTGCTGCGTTAAGAGAGCACTGTGGTTTTCACATCAAGCCCCGGAGCCGCGGTTGCCATTACAGAAGCGACTACTGCTTCTTTTAGAGGAAAAACACCAGGCTGCCCTCTAAGAAGAGTTTGTCAGCCCATTCAGTCTGATGCAGATGTATTTTGCTTCTTCTGTGAACCTGAAAATCGGAGAGTTTTTGACATGATAGCGGAGGCGTGAAAATTTGGTGATCTTGATGGTGAAAGTCTGTTCTTTTTTTGTCTCCCTCTAGGTGAGGATGATAGCCTGGCCTTTAAGGAAAAAGTGACAGTGGAAGAAATCTTCAAGAAAGACTTCAAAGTTCACGACCCCAACGCTAAGTGGATCAGCAGTAAGTGGTCTCATCTGCAGACGTTTGATTTCCTCTAGTTCGGGTTCTTCCATTAGCTGGCCAGTAGCTAATGCGATTGCTCAGATTATCTGAGCATTGAGTCACAAACGGACTATAATTCTCATTGTGCACATAATCAATTCAGAGACGGAGCTGAAGACAGGGTTGTGCGTTACTCATTTTCTTTTCAAGGTAAAAACGAAAAGTATTGATTCTTTTGTTCCCTCCAAAGGCATGGGTTTCGAACATTTGAGAGGCAAGATCTGGGTGAATCTCATAAAATTCCAAAGAGCTAATAAAGAAGCTTTTTTAAACTGTTCAAAATACCGGAACCACAAAGACAATGTAGTAATATCTCATTTGGATATGTGTAGCGAAATTAGCCCAATTTATGAATAATAATGATTAATAATAACAAGTTATGAATAATTCTGAATAATCAGAATTAACTAATAGTTAATTTAACCAATTAAATATAACATTGAGCGGACTCTGTATTTATTTATTTAGAAAGGGAATTATAACTACGTCTCATGTTGTAGATGAATAGTTTAGAAGTTTTATCAAATTTTAATAAGCTATAGCAAGGGTCTTTACCATTAAAGTGACCTTTTCTGTGAGGTAAAACAAAGACAATGCAACATGGTTATATAGCATGATTTATTGACTAGCCTAACATTCATTCATTCATTCATTTTCTTGTCGGCTCAGTCCCTTTATTAATCCGGAACCGCCACAGCAGAATCAACCGTTTTATCCAGCACGTTTTTACGCAGCGGATGCCCTTCCAGCCACAACCCATCTCTGGGAAACATCCACACACACACACACACACACTATGGACAATTTAGCCTACCCAATTCACCTGTACCACATGTCTTTGGACTGTGAAGGAAACCGGAGCACCCTGAGGAAACCCACGCAAACGCAGAGAGAACATGCAAACTCCACACAGAAACGCCAGCTGAGCCGAGGCTTGAACCTGCGACCCAGCAACCTTCTTGCTGTGAGGCGACAGTACTACCTACTGCGCCACTTCGTTGCCCTAGCCTAACATATAACAAACAAATGTACAAAATATAACAATAAAAACATAGAAAAAAAAAAAAGCGAGGATATAAAATAATTTAAATAAAGAATGGCAAATTTAACTTAGTTCCACACAACTATTAAAGACCACCAAACTATTAAATCACCTTTTTGATAAGGAGGCACATCATAACGCAAGACTAAATACCTGAATTTAGTGGCTTTGTCCTCTCTTGTTGTACGAGTTTTTCTAATGCTTGGAGGACAAAGTCCTTTAAGGAGTCCCTTCTTGTTGGCATGGAGTTTGCGACGCAGATCGGAGGAAACACAATACGCAAACTTTAATGTGTTTAATTTGCCAGAAAATAAGAAACGTGGTCTCAGACGAGTCACATGGGCACAGAAACGCCGTCTGCCCCTTTTTGTGTCAGGAACACTTTTGCCATGATGTGGGGGGTGTAACAGATATTTCAAGGCATTGGTCAGGTAACTCAGGTCAGATCAGGTAACTCTCTCCTGACTGATTAATGGCGTGAGAGGAAAAGTTGCTCTGTAAACTTCCTTTGTTCTCCTTGCTGGTGTGTACGGTCCCAAGACAGACAGACAAAACTTTAACTCATGGTTTGAAACTACACCAAGCATACAAGTTATCATCCTAGATCATAAGCTGTAGAATTATGAATAGAGAAGAATGACACCAAATATGTCTATTTTAGAAATACCTAAAACATAATTCAAGTTTCATTTGTAATTACGCTGTTAACAATTTTTTTGTAAATTACACAGTATTTAACTATAATTTGAACTGTATTTTACTGTAGTATAGTTATGCGGTACATTTACTGTACTTTAAAGTTTCATTCAGAAAATTACTGTATATTTTACAGTAAAGATATACAATTTTGTGAATACATGTACAGCTAAATAAATGGTGCTGTAAATGTAAATACAGTATTGCTGTAAATAATTTACAGTAAGTTAATTGCGTTACTTACTGCAAGTAAGACACTATAAAATCTACAGGAAATTGCTAATAGCGTATATAAATATGTAACCTGATGAACTGTAATATAATATAAAATGATTTTATTTGTTCTTAGCAACAGGCTCATTCTGAAAACATAGCCCTATATACATTTCTGGAGGCCGCAAATTATGCAACTAGAAGTACCTATGGCTGCATTTTGTCTTTTAAATGAACGCTATGGGCACGCTAATGAACGTATGACGCTGTTCTTTTTCGCCTATACCACTTACCTTCGTATGAATGGCTTTCCCGCTGTTACCAGTTTGTCCAGTGGCTCACATTGTACGTCAGTAAACTTAAGATGCAGAGAGGAGTTGACCGTGACAACAGGGTTCAAGTCCGGTGAAGAACGGTTCAAGAAAGCAGGTAAAACAAAAACAAAAGCTAAAAAATAAAATAAACAAGTAAATAATGGTGAGAATGTGGTAAAAATCAAGCGAGGGCTTTATTTTTTTTTGATTGCTTATAAAACACTGTTGGTTGGGTTTAGAGAAGTGGGCGGGCGCTGGTCAAATGGTGCTTTTGAAAACACTGTCGGTTGGGTTTGGGAAAGGTGGTGAATGGGGTTTTGGTGAGTTGGTCAGTCAGTCGACAGCAGCCTCTGTTGGATTTACGTGGAGAGCAGGTGTGAATATCACTCGTAAGAGAAATTCAAGATCTCAAAAAACACATTCAGCGGATTCCTGAAAGCAAACACTGCAACAAAAAAGTATCTCCTGGGACCTTTTTGCCGCCCTCTAAATATGTATATAGGGCTACATTCTTAGAATGAGCTGGAATTGGTTCTTTGCCTTCTCTGATATTTTAGTCATCACATAAAAATAAGTGTACTTAATCTAATTAAGACTTATAGTACATATACTATTGAATACAACAGCACACTTATTGTAAGTGTGCTGAAGTGTGTTAAGAAACACAGTCAAGTATACTCTCTTTCAGTACATTTAAGTGGGCTTTCATGGACATTTCAGACACTATATGCTACAAGTGGACATTCAGTGCAATAAAGCACACTTTATTTTTACAAAGGAATATATTCCAGAAACACCAGCTTATTAAAAATGATTTGCAAAAAGAACTCAGAAAACTTTATCTAAAATATATATATATATATATATATATATATATATATATATATATATAAAATCGCCTCAGCTGCTTCCAAGCAGCGATGACCTGCTTAGATTTCCTTTTTTAATCTAATAAAATAACCATTCAAATATTTTAATTGGGTCTGAAGGATTCTAAATAGATTTTGTGGCAACTCTACAATACGGAATTAAGTCAGAATGAGGGTGATTACATTTTTGTGGATATGTGTCTGGATTGTGATGTCTGTTCTGCATACAGACGGGTGATTTAATGCAAAAGAAGGAAGGCGTTTATCAGCGGGTAGATTAATCAAGCCGTCTGATTTGGTTTGAGCTTCATTGAGCTGTCTCCTCTAATCAGCTGCTTTGGGCTGTGTAGATATGGAAGCTCTCTCTGCTCACACCTCACAATCTTTCGCAAAACTTTTTCGTCAAAGACGATCAAATGGTACCTAAAAAAGACAAAATCTGGTTTCTTTACAGCAGAGGTCAAAACTTAACTGTCTAAAACCAGTTCGTTATGCACACAAAGAATGCATTTATTAGCAGTTTTTTTATTTATTTATTTAATTTTATTTAATTTAATTCAATTCATTTAATCTATATTTCTATAGCGCTTTTACAATGTAGATTATGCCAAAGCAACTTAACAGAAGTTCTAGTAAACTGAAACTGAATGTGTCAGACCAGTTTTCAGAGTTGAAGTTCAGTTCAATTCAGCGTGGTTTAAATTTCACTGCTGAAAGTTCAAACACTGAAGAGCAAATCCATCTATGCACAGCTCCACAAGTCCCAAAGAAAGCAAACCTATAGCGACAGTGGTGAGGAAAAAATTTCACCAATTGACGAAAGTGAAAAAAAAAAAAAACCTTGTGAGAAACTAGGTTAAGCTAGGCACGACCATTTTTCCATTGGACAAACTTCTTTTGCAGAGCTGCAGTCTAGGAACCGAAGGCTGTAGAACGTGGGACATATATCGTGGAGAAGCTGAATTTGTAGTGTGATTACTACATTATTTAGGGTGCTTTCACACCTTGACATTTGTTTCGGAACTTGTTGCATTGGCCCCTTAGCTCGGTTTGTTTTTGCATATGTGAACACCACAATCACGATCTGATACCCACCAAAAACAAATGGTCAGATGGCGTGTGTGTTTGTGTGTGATTGTGTGTGTGTGTGTGTGTGTGTGTGTGTGTGTGTGTGTGTGTGTGTGTGTGTGTGTGTGTGTGTGTGTGTGTGTGTGTGTGTGTGTGTGTGTGTGTGTGTGTTTGTGTGTATATATATACATATATATAATACAATTTTTGGGTAACACAAGTTTTGATATAGAATCGATACATTGCAATCCTTAACAATTGAAATTAAGCTATGAATGCGCAATTCTTACCTCTGATTTATCTTTAGTGATGACTATGTCTGTGGGTGTTACCATTCAAAATTAAAGAGCACCTTCACGCTTATAATGTCTAATTTCTCATTAAGTCCGTTTACATTGAGACCAATAATCTGATTTTAATATGATTAAGACAAAATGTTGAAAGCCTTGTGACACAATGACCTTAATCATATCATTGTCTTATTCAGTTTGAGGCAAGTAATTTGATTACTGATGTAAACATGTCATTGTCATAAATAACAAAGGAAGACAGCTGAGAGGAATCCCAGAAAATAAACCAAACTCTGACCAATGTGAGGAGAGTTTACTCGCACCACACGTGACTTGTGTTAATAATTTTGGTCTATTTAGAAACTTTACCATGTGAAAGCGAACTGCGTCAAGAACAAAAAGCAAAATTGTAACTATGCGGCCCGTCGCCGAGCGGCGCTTCTGATGTGCGACCTGCTTTAGAGTC